TTTCTGCATGAAAAATTACCCAGGTGATATGATTTTTTTATTTTTCCTCTCCGTTTACAATATAATACGAAAGCTAACCTTTTCTGCTTAGGGCTCTGCGCGCAACGCTAATGACCAACGAGCCCGTAGACGTCCCACTTTGGTCTTTACATCTGATTGTAGACCAAAGGTGGAAGGACTATCAGTGCCAAACATTTTTCGCGAAAATAATTTAACAGTTTTTGAGAACTCCACAGCCCAAAATCGCTAATTTAACAAAAATCTGGATTTTGCCAAGATTCCCACAAAGGAACGCTTTGACTTAGAAGGCTGAAATTTTCACAGAAGGGAGATACCGCTAAGATGTTCTTACTAAAATAAGTTCAGGAGTTTATCATGCATCAGTTACCAGATATCGAATCACAAAGTCATGTAAAATTAGCATTTTTCTGACTCTTTATGATATCTACAGGAAACAAAAGACACAACTGATCGGGGTGATTTTTTATCACAGATAGCAATAATCACTATTAGCAACTGACAAAGTTTCAGCTCAATACATTGAACCATTGTTGAGTTATAACCGTAATACTGTGCCTAGTTTTTATGGTATCGAAATTTAGGACTTTTTGAAAAAGTTCGATAAAACAATGACGGTTCAATATTTTTTTATGCGATTTGCGTGAAAATTCATTAAACAGTGCCCTGTATCATACATATGAAAATTAGTCAAATCGAGAAAACTCGATTGTGCAGGTTAGGTCGTGGCTTACATGCAATGACTCTTATGTTGTAAATTAATTAGTGAAATAGCTAAGACAGGAAGAACCGTTACAGATAAAATTATATTACTTATTCTTGATCAGGATAAACAAGACGAGCCAATAGATATACTTAAATTAATATCCAAAAATCAAACGATTCCAGAAGAATTACAAGATAAAATAAAATTATCCTTGGATATTCGTTCAATGATAAACATCGATCCAACACTCTTAGGTAAACTTTTAAGTAATATGCGACAAGAATTCGAGATAAACAAAAAATTTTCCCATTCATTCATTGATGAGTTAGTTGAATCTAAAATTTCAAATGAGGATATTCATCATAATTTATCGTTATACCAAGAATTAGCAGATATTTATGCTTTGATTTAAATAGACAATTCGGATAATCGTTTGAAACCATTCATTGATGGTTTGGAAAATGCCATTATATCTAAAATAATAAATGAGAATATTCTTAATGCATATAAAGAAATCGTTAAACAAACACGATGTCAGACAAAGAATTTTCCTAAAGTATTCGACGTTTTTATAGACATATTAAATCAGGATAAGAACTATGCGAAATTCGACTTTGATATTCTTGTATGTATTGCTTTAGCATCTGAATCTACACAAATTTCAGAATTAAAACATCTAGAAAATTATCTTTCTGATGATAATGAAATGATTCGTAGTTGTTCATTTAGAAGTTTAAGAGCAGCTCATGAGAAAGGTTCATACTCTTCAATATTTAAAAAATGTTGTGATAATATTATTGATAAACTACAAGAAAAAACTAAAATTAAAGTGGATTTAGATTTAGATTTATTCGAAACAATAGCTTCATTAAAGTTCAACGATTTTGATCAAATTCGTGATAAACCAAAAGATCAATGAAATAGAGAACTCTTAATATTTGATATAATAAAAAGATTGCAAATAAAGGAAGAACCACGATCTGAATTTGATCATGTATGGCTTCAATTTGAAAACCATAGTGAGTACGAGAACGGTAACAGTACCATAATATTGAAATTATTACATCGTTTTCTAGTGAATAATTTTGTTTTGTTTGTTGAATTTCGTCAAGCAATAAACGCTTTACAACATATTCCTTTTGATGATGCATATAACATTTTATCGAATAGTAAGAATCCACTTATTGACTTGAAAACGAAACATCTAACAATAATGATAAATCAACGTTTAATTAACAAAGTTGAGATCAAGCCTAGATATATTGAAAGTTTAGCTTCTATTATGATATCGAAATTTAGCTTGGATATTTGTGAAAATTTTTTAAATGCACTAGAAAATATTAATAATTTAAGAGAGTTTGAGGAGCTTCTGAAATTTGCTGAAACCAACAAGATTACAAAATCTGATATTTATGTTGAGAAAAGACCGATTTGAATATTCAAAAGATCATTGGAGATAAAATTCTTGGGGAATCAAATAGAAACAAATGACAGAATTAAATTAGGTTTTCATCTAGATAGATTATTAGATCAAACTTGGTCATTTGAAAAATTAAACGATCTATTTAAATCGTTTAAAGAATTGAATAATCAAAATAAAGTACGACATTTTATGCAAGTTCTTGATACTTTATCACATTATACAATTTCTTCAAAAGATAAAGAAAAAATTTTATCAATTTTAAATAACCCAGCCGAAAATTGGCTAACAGAAATCAATAAAATTGCAATTGAAAATAATTTTCTGATAACAGTCAAGAAAAAAATTCAAAAGGATTAGTTGATGAATTCATAAGTCAAAATTCTCACAATGAACATTTGAAACATTTTACTGACAAAAAACTATTAGAATGGATAGAAAAAATTAATAATCCATCATCGACTTTTCTATTTTCTGCTAAGAAATATGTTGATGGTTTTCCTCTATTTAATCATTCTATCAATCGATGGACAAAAGGCGATATTCTGAAATGGACAAATTTAGTGAAAGAAAATTTTGAGATGTGCACCGATACAGAAAATTTTATTATAGAAGCTTTAGCAGTAATAAAGCGCGCAACTTTCTTAGACACGGGATTTTATCTAACAGATACTCAGATTTTAAGTTGTTTAATTGTTTTAAATCCGAATCATGAGCGAGGACGATTATTACAAGTCGCAATTGATGAGGGTAAATCGACAATAATAAGTGTATTAGCTGTATTTTATGCTTTAACGGGTAAAACTGTAGATATTATAACCAGTTCTCCAGTTCTTGCAGAAATATATGCAAAAGAAAAAGTAAATTTCTATAGTATGTTCGATCTTGATTGTAGTCATAATAATGACAAGAAAGTTTATTTATCAGGCCCAAAAGTTTGTTACAAAAAGAAAATTGTTTATGGGGAAGTAGCACAATTTCAATTTGATACTCTAAGGACACAATATGCTGATCTTAAAACACTAGGCGATAGGAAATATGGAGTAGAAATAGTTGATGAAGTTGATAGTATGCTTATTGATGATAGTTCAAAGATCGCCAGACTTGCGTCAACTATATCAGGCATGGATCAATTACAAATAATCTATCATTTGTTATGGAATCATCTTTCGTTTTTACAAGAGAAAATTATTCAGTTAGATAGTAAAATGTATTTATTTTACGGAAAAACTAATATCACACAAAATCAAATTTCTCTAGAGTATGATGATGATAATGGAATTATAATTCCCATTCAAGATTTAAAAGCTGATATTGAATCGACTTCAGATATACGTCATATTGGATTCAGAATTGCAGACGGTCAGGAAGGTGATAAATTCATTAAGAATAATATAAATAGTTATATTAGATCATTCATTGAAGAGAATATTACAATACCACAAAATTTTGAAAATTTTGTTGAAACACAGATACCCAAATGGGTAGACAATGCCATAACAGCATTATTTTATCAAGAAAATGTACATTATATTCTACATGATGGTTTAATTAAACCAGTCGATTACTATAGTACAGGAATTGTACAAAGTTCATCGAATTGGAGTGATGGTTTACATCAATTTTTGCAACTAAAACATAATCTCAAAATGACATCTGAAACTTTTACTACTAATTTTCTATCTAATATAGGATATTTTAAAAAATATGGTTCAAATTTATGTGGTCTTACAGGAACACTTGGTTCAGAAAAGGCTAGACAAGTATTAGAAAATGTATATAATGTGGACTTAGTTTTTATTCCTAGTTCACGTCAAAAACAACATCTTTCTTTGCCTGACATTATAGTAGCTAATGAAATTGAATGACTAAAAGAAATTTGCGATTCTGCAATTAATGAATCGAATAAAGAAAGAGGAACTTTGATTATTTGTGAGACAATCGAATATTGTAAAATTATTGCAGAGAAACTTCAACGAAAATATCGTTCGAGTGCCATTAAACTTTACACAATGAATGATATGAATCAAAAGCGAAATATCAAAATAATATATCCCGGAGACATGTGATTGTAACATTTTTGCCATCGAATAGGCGTGTTGAAGAACAAGCATTCGGTCGAACTTCTCGACAAGGTAAACGAGGTACAAGTCAGAAAATCTTAAATACTATTAATTTATTGCATTATGAAGATTTTGATATGAAGAAACTAACAGAATCAAGAGATCGAATTGAAGCAAACATGTTAAGTAACTTTGAAAACAACGAATTAAAAATAATTACTTTAAAGGATGAACTTTTTAGTGAATTCTGTTTGTTATTAGATGAAAAATACGTAGAAGAATTAGAGAAAAGACTGGTGTTGTTACAATTCTAAAGGATACTGTTAAGAGTGCATTCACGCATGTTAATCCTTCTGCTATTGAATCGAATATATTACTCAGTATTGAAGAACAATGGGCGATGTTTTTACGTAAAATTGAAGAAAATTCTAACATCGATGGCGAGAAAATTCATATTGATTATAAAAATTTTAGACAGAAAATAATCAATGATTATAAAAACGAACGTGTTATTAAAAATCCTTACTATCATATTATCATTGGTAATGATTTAACTATCAATGATTCATTATTAAATAGTAAATATGATGAAGCGATGAAACATTTTGATCGAGCCATAGAACTTGATCCAAATCATTGTGCAGCTGCTTTTTTTGGACAAGGATGGCTTTTATTAAAAGGTAAAAAAAGAATTGTAGTTTCGAATAGACAAGAATTAGGCTATAAAGATGCAGCTATTGAAAAATTTCGAAGAGCACTTAAAATTTTATGTGAAGACAAGGATTCGTTAGAAACTATACAAACACTTTTATTCAATCGATATTCAGATGTGAATACTCTTCTATACAAACAATTAATGCAGAAAGCTAATATTTTAGCTGCTTATGCTAATCACATAAATGATCTTATAAGTGTTATAAGAAAATCACAAAGATTACTTCAAATAACCGAAATAATCGATTATTCAAATCTAAGAGAAAATAATGACGTATTAGAAGAAACAATTTTATATGAAGATATTGAGAAAGATAATGGGAAATTTTGTGATGTACGTTTAATATCTTCTGATAATATAATTGATTATAAAATTGCTCTTCTCGAGTGTCAGGAAATTCTTATTATGAAAGATCAAGCCGAATTTATAGTCAATTTTAAAGGAAAAAAAGAAAATAAATTGAGTGAATGGAGAATAGACGACTCCAAACTGCAGAAATGTCTCTCATCTTTGTCTGATGATCAACAAATTCTTGACCGATATAATAACTCTGAAATCTATAATCAAATTTATGAAAAAGTTACATCGAAAAATGGTTATATTCGAGGAAATTTTTTATTACCTCTTGGAAATTTATCGGATCGAAGAAAATATGAAGTAACATTTAATGATTTAACCGTTAGAAACGACAGTGGAAATATTGATCAAGCTATAAAAACTATAACTGTAGCAGCAGCAGAATCACAGAACACATTCAACTCAATCTTTTCACTAGAAAAATATACTTTAACGAATGATTATCAACATATAAGAGTTAGTTTATTAAAAATTAGTTCTGAAATATTAGAGCAACTTCTCAATCCTAATATTAAAATTCAAAATGCGACAAAAGAGGCAGTTTTGACACAATTGAAAGAGAGAAGCTCATTTTTTCATCGTCATTGATTACCGAAAGATTTTCGTCTAGGTTCATATCAGGTTGATTTAGATATTATTCGTAATGATAATATTGTACAAGAAAACAAGAAAATACAAGTGAGAAATGCAATTGAAATTATTAAACAACAAACAGAAAATGATATATATTTTAATTTAACATTCCATTCTGCTAATGAGATGTCCAAAGTTGTTAAAAGTGAAGTAATAAATCATTCGAAAATCACTGTTGAATTCGTTGAGTTAAAGGAACAAGAGGTTTTAAATCTAGTGACAAACATGAACTCTAAAAGTATTACTCTTGAAATATACGATAGAAAAGACCAATTATTAGAATTGATAAAGTCTGTAGATATAGAAACCATTGAATTCTATTCCTCTCGAAAAGAAAAAAAAAGAAATTTGTAAATAAAATAGAAGCTGCAAAACTAATCGAAAAAAGTTCAGACAACATAGCAGCTATTAGACTATTAAATGTGAAGAAAGGACGGATGAAACAAATTATCGATATTTGTCCGGATGCAATTTTTAGTATTTTTTTCGTTAATATAAACTTTGGAAATCTTTTGAACGGAGTTAACGATCAATTTGTAAATATTCATTTTGATGAATTAGAAAAAAAAGCAGCTCAAATTCTTCTTACACAAATCAGAAAGACAAAGGTCGATTTTAGTTTGACATTCAAAAACTTTAAAAAAAATCAGGTAAAAAGACTAATAGACAAAGCTCCAATAGATCAAGAAGACATACAAATAAATAAAATAAAAAATCTAGGAGAAATATTTATGAACGAGTTAAGACCAGATTTAGAACTATCAGAATTTTCTGGACGAGGTATCGAATATTTGCTTGAAATTACTGAAAAGAATTTCATCCCATGGTTTAGCATAGGTGTTGTAGCTGGTTTAGTTGTTGTCCAAATGGCAGTAGGTGGAGCTCTTATAGCAACTGGCTTTGGAGCCACTGTAGGAATGGGTATGATTACTGAAGGAGCAGCAGATTTATTGATTGCTTATCGAATCTATAACACAAGAAAATTTTGTTGGTCAGATTATGGAAAGCAAAAAGCAGTAAGTTTGGTTATCTCAGCAGTTTCAATGGGATTTTCAGCAATTAAAGATGCAGGTAAAGGAGTTAAGACTTTAGTGACAGCCGCAGGAGAAGGAGTACTTGAGCAAGCTGGTACAAAACTAGTAACAAGTGAGAAAGCGTCATGCCAAGTGGTAGTTACGACTGGAAAAAATTTGAGAAGCCTAGCTATAAAACAAGTAGAAGTAACTGTCGGTGAAAATGTACTAAGAGAAAGTTTAAATAAATTATCAGATGCCGAATTCAATTTTGTACTTGAGCAATTGAAACCACACATTTTAAATTCGATTCAAAACAAAGTTATTAATGAGTTCTGTAAGTCAAATTTACTGGCACTGATATGTAAAATGTATGCCATTGATATAATAAATAAAAATGAACAATTTAAGGAAAAAATAAATAAAATAATAATTGAAACAATTAATTGTCAGCATGGCTTCTGCCGTAAACAATGGGATTCTATTGGTGCCACATTATGCGATGGCATTTTATCAAGTACATATAGAGTGCGAAGTCCATTAAGTATACTTTTAAGAACATCTGCTACTCTAAATGCCATGCGTGAACTTATTTTTATAATGAAGAAAGTTCATGATCAGCTTCTAAACAAACTCACAGAAATAGATCGAGAAACTTTGCCAATGCGACAGATTTTTTGTTCTTATTGTGGAGTCAGTGACGATGATTCGAAGGAAATTGTAAAGATTTTTGAGACACAAGATATAGTAGAACTTAATAACGAATTAGTAAATCAAGACTTTCCCAGCAAATTAGAGAAAATCAGGATTCATGGATTTTCGAATTATGAAGATAAAATTTTAAATTTTTTAAAATTGTTACATAAAGATATGCATGGTTTGGAAATGAATAATTTTAATGAGATAATGAAATTAGTGTCAGACAGAATTACAGATGAATCCTTGAAAATAATAGAATCGCAGTTTATATCACCCTGGAGTAGTTATGTTACGGGTGAAGTAACAAAAGCTATTTCAGAAAGAATACAGCATCATTTTATTGTTGATGAAAACCAAAATTAAGACAGTCAAAATAGAGAAAAGCAAGAAAATGGAGAATCAGGATATAATACTATTGCTAAACAAATACGATATAGTGTCAAAGATTACATCAGAGCATATAGTGAGTGTGCAAATATTCATTATGAGCAACAGAGAAATGAAACCAGCACAAATCCTGTAATACACATGCCAGTCGGTGGGTCTGGTATTGCTACAGTAGACACTAGATGTATGTCGCTTTCTCGATTGGCCGTGGATGAAATCTTGTCACGACTCATGAGAGGAATAGTTGGTTTATGGCCGTATATTTTGGGTGGTCTTTTACTGTGGCGTTTTTGGAAACTTTTTTGCATACTGATTTTTCTTGTTTATTGTTTGACTAGGGTTATCAATTCCAATGAATAGAATGTCTTATATTCTTTGATTTTATACTTCTCCGTCGCCAGATGTTCTTTATCGATATAAGTTAGAAGATGTTAAGAAAAATATTCATGTAAACTCCAGAAAAAGTAACAATAAATCCATCTGTTTAGAATCCTTAAAAAAAGCTAAGCATCTTCAAATAATCAAGCTCTTCTCCATCCGAGTTTCATGTGCTGACTACGGTTTTTTTAATTTTAATCTTACAAAATCCTTAAAGAAAATTTTATGCTGAAATAACAGAGATATAATAAAAATTTTGAAAAAAAATGGAAAAATCAAATCCCAAATATACATTCTCTCCAATTTTTATTATATCTCCATTGTGTCAAACAGAAATTGATACCTTTTTAAATCAGGATGATGAGCGGACAAAATCGTATTATTAGTAAATAGGCTACCTATTCTATCATATGTGTGCAAAATCTCATACGTTTTTACGCTAAAATACTCATGAAACCGTCGACCTATTTTATTTCTAGCAGATTGAAAAAAGAATAAATGATCGATGCGCAACTTTTTTTTAAAATTTTAATCGTTATCATACACAGCTCTATAATGAGAATATGGTAATGACGATGAATTTAGTTTGACTGTTAACATTGAACCTTATCATACCTTGTCTTCGACATTTTATCCTGAGGCCATGCTGACGTGAATTGTATTTTCTTGAATATTATTCATTTCTTGGGTTAGTTTAGAAATAATAACGCAGCTTTATTTAAATTTAATTAGAAAAGGGAAAGTAAAAGAATTTACTGTTCTATCGGATTTTCATGAGAGAATGTCTAGCAAGCTTATTATTGTTACAAACAATATCGAAGTGTTAGGAACTCTTTCATAGCTGAACTCTGCTTCCTAAATACGTTAATAATTTTGATGAGTTTGTTTTATTGATGCTTTGTCTTTATAATAATTATGACTTTTTATGTATTCTTATTATTTTCGATGTTATTGTCTACTATATTTTACATTTTGAACTTTTTTTTACTGTATCTTTGAATTGGTGTCTTTTTCTTGCAATCTACAAATGATTGTACCATGTTGCCTGCAAGGAAAATGATGGTTGAAGTGGATAAAACAACGAACTATGTTTATAAACAAGCAAACACTAGTGATCATTTGTTAATATGAACAAAGTTAAAATCAGCATAGATAAATTCGATCTTATTATTCATTATTATAAAAAATGGCACGACTAAATATTGAACAAGATTGGATTAATATTTATGAAATTGGTAAAGAGAAAATGCTCGTTAATACTCAGATTACTGAATGACAACCCTTAGCGCTTGCTTCAAAATATCAATTTATTCGTTATTGTACAGAACTTCTTCGTTACTCAAATTGATTTAGGCACTTTGAGAGTCGATAGCACATTTTATTGTCAAAATCTCGATCAAACACCGAATGCATATGATGCAGTTCAACTGTTCTTGAAATTCAAATCAGCAAACAGTAGACTTATAGAGAATTTAAGTACCAATAAATTGTAGTTTGTGCAGCCACGCTTAGTTAGTGTTATCCTGAATATTCATGTCTACTTTCAGTTGACTTTCAAAGTATCAAAACTATTCAACATTGATTATCAATGAAGTTCTGTTAATCTAGAGTGCTTCATATATCAAAAAAGAAAATTTCAATGATGGTGTGATGTTCTTTGTCCTGTGGACCGACAGTCTCCCTTTGTTTTTTTTGTCTTATCTTTTCCATTTATGATATGCAATTTTGCGTTGAATGTTGTCATGTTATGTGGAATTAAAATAAAAATGATACTGTAACTAACAATCTAAATGGTTATCTAATATTTTATTAATAACATGATTGCGATGTTATGATATTTAATAGCAATCATGATTCGCGTGTAAATTCTAAACCAGATATGGATAATTATGTGCATTATACACTTGTCAGCTAAATATTCATTTCGATCACATAACAAGTGATAATGGCATAATTTAATACGTAATGTGAGAGTGATAATTAGTTTTGTTTTTCAAAATTCCGTAAAATAAATAAGTTAGAAATAATGAGCATACAAAAGTGACAATCAGTCTCGTTACTGGATAAAATGTGCATAAACCTCAATAATTTTGTTTGATATTTTGATTGCAAATAGGACTCAGTGAACTTTAATCGCAAGCAATAATCCGAGCTCGATAGGTCTTAAAGGCAAAGGATTTATGATGAAAACACTTTTTTTTCGAGGACTCAAGAAAAAAGACTTTTGTGGTTTTGGGACATGGGTATGGGTGTTCAGTTAAGCTGCATCTACACCCCACCCTTTATAAGCCATGAATATCATGAAAAGAGTTCGAACATTTAATTTGCTACTTTCATTAACTTTACACGCGTGTGTTTTTTTTAATTCAATGTACTTTTATTAAATTTTCATTTTTAAAGTTTGATTTTGAGAATTTTAAGCCCATGGACTTCTCACCACCGTACAGCAAGTAGTCAAGAATAATATGAAAATATTAGTCATGGATCACCAATTTAAATGTCAACAGAAAAACGAGGTCAATCATAATTCAAATTTTTCATACAAAATCTGCATCGACAGGTATAAACAAGATAAATTTCTTGTACACAAATATGAGCTATATTTTCCATCAAATATTCATATGCATATGACAGATAACGAAAATCTTTGATACATGACTAATAGATAGAGAAATAAATGTGGAAACATGGGATTTAAATCCGAGTGTTATGTGTACTTCAAAAAGTAAGAATAATTGACGACAGATTGATTTCGATGAAACTATTAAAAACGAGTCATCATAACATGTCGAAATTTCAAACTTATCTCTAGGCATGCACCAAACCCAAACCGTTTGGATTTGTTGAGTTTGGGTTTGGGTGTGGGTTTCAGTGTCAGTTTGCTACATTAACCCACTGAACTACTGGACTTAACATCTAATGCCATTTCTGTCAAGTCTCTTCTCTATATTTAACTATTTATCCTGTATAGATATAAGCAAAAGTATATTTCCATTCTTCACATCGCTAAACAATGAAATAAAGTCATTCGCAATCCCGAAAGGATAGCTTGGAGAATAGGTATTTTGAGAGATTTGCCTACGGTCTGATTCATGGAAAAGCGAAATCACATTTCTCAGTTGGAAGAGCGATTGTTCGATGTTCTATCATAATTAAACATTGGTTTTCAAGGAGGGGGGGGGGGAGGAGGAGGGGGTGTGGGTGTGGGTGTGTATAGAAACTCAAGATTTTTTTAAAAATTAGATACAAAGCGAGAGACTTACGACCGGTTTCGTCCTTGCTTAAGGGACTCGTCAGGTAAGTTAAGTATCTGAATTCTACTGCATATCGATCGAAATTCAAACTAGAGGTAGTTCTTTAAGAGTTTTCGACAAAAAAACAAAAACTCTCAACAAACAGCCACCAGATTTTTGAAATAGGATCATATCCATTTTAAATCAACTAAATTTTCAAGAGGAAAATGAAGTTGAGATGAAATAGAAAACGTCGCAGTCAATAATTGGAAGAAAGTAAATTTCTAAGAATTATGTGGTGTGTATATAGAAGCTCAAGATTTTTTGATTTAGATACAAAGCGAGAGACTTACGACCAGTTTCGTCCTTGCTTAAGGGACTCGTCAGGTAAGTTAAGTATCTAAAGGGTGTGGGTGTGGGTGTGTAGAGTTTCCACGATAACCTTAGATTATTTCGATATTTCTGACTCAATCTTATCAAGTGGCCTAGATACCAGTGTATTTGATCAAAACATAGTTAAAATGAATACATGATACCGTCATTTTACTAAAGAAAAATTTCTCTGAGCTGCCATGACCGGTTTCGTCCGGGCTAAGGGACTCATTCAGATGGCTTAACTATTCTGAATTTTCGAAGAGAAAATCCAAAACAAAGTATATCTTCAGTGTTACAAGAAGTCGAAACAAACTTGTAATAGAAGAATTAATTTGAATCAACACTATCTCTTAGCTGCCATGACCGGTTTCGTCCGGGCTAAGGGACTCATTCAGATGGCTTATCTATTTTGAATTCTATTAAATTAAAATCCAAAACAAGATGTATCTTCAGTGCTGCAAGAAGTCGAAACTAACTTGTAGTAGAAGAATTAATTTGGGTGTGTCTGGAACCACGCCTTGTTCATGATATCTTGTTACAGGTATTTACCAAGTGTGGGTGATGATGGTATATGATCCAAGGGATCAACATGTTTCTAACTCAATCATTATCAAGTGGCCTGAGTATCAGTTGTAATGATCTATGAAATATAAATCATAACATGATACCTCAAAATCTACTAATTTTTTAAAAAGAATTGAAATTCAGAGCATCACAAGATCCGGATTTCGACCTTGCTTAAGGGTCCTCGACAGGTATGTTTAGAACTTCATAAGAATTACATGCAAGTCATAACCCACTCAAAAACTTGAGGAAGTCATGGCTTAAACGTAATTAGATAAAGAATGTTGAGCATACGACGACCGGTTCCCACTTTGCTCAAGAGTCTCCTCAGGTGGCTTAAGATATCTTAATCGATTACAATAAGAATCAATTAAAACATCTTCTACACTAGGTGGGTGTGGGTGTGGGTGTGACTGGGCTTGCATGACCGGTTTCGGCCGGGCTAAGGGACTCATTCAGATGGCTTATCTATTTTGAATTCTATTAGATTAAAATCCAAAACAAGATGTATCTTCAGTGCGACAAGAAGTTGAAACTAACTTGTAGTATAAGAATTAATTTGAATCAGCAGTGTGACTCAGCTGCCATGACCGGTTTCGGCCGGGCTAAGGGACTCATTCAGATGGCTTATCTATTTTGAATTTTTTGAATAAAATCCAAAGCAAGATATATCTTCAGTTTTAATTAATCAATTGAAAACAGATCGATCTATATCTTTTAATAATATAAATGAATCTGCTACTCTCTGGTTTTGCTTTTCAGCAATCGATTTAATCGAAAATAATTTAAATATTTATTTATATATTGTGCTTGAATTAATAAGAAAAATTGTTTAAAATAAATGCAGAATTGATTTTTTTCGCAGACGCGTTTCGTATCTTTGATAAGATAGTGCTCTTCAGGACTAATGATATATGTAAATATCTAGAATAGATAGAAATAAATGACAATTGATTATTATATTTATTATTATTATTATTATTCAAAGATAAACATAAAAAATGTTAGAAAAAAACCAAAAGAATTAAAATGTTTTTTTTAGAAGCCAACTATATCTATTGGTTCGTGCATATTGAAGTTGACCAAGTATTGCCATTTATTCATTCTAAATTGAAGAATAAATTCAATATAAAAATTAAGCAAAGTAAATTAAATATTACTTTTTCATTTTTATCATTTATTTTTGATATAATCTTGAATTGTTTCATAGTTCCATTTTTCATTAATAACAGTGGCAAGTTTTGTAACAGCTTGACATTTATGAAGATGAAAATTGGTATGATCAAGACTTTCATGAAATGTATATGCTATAGCATCATTGAGAGACCAATCATCATTTGGGCATTTATGTGGACGATGTGAACATGAACATAATGGACCATCTACATTATCGAAATCAATTATTTAACCACAATTTTCATTATGTACAAATGTATTATTGTACCATGCTTTGAAATCATCTTGAATATTAACTAAATGACATTGTACGATTCCACCGACACGATATACTGGATAGAATGGATATTCATATCGAAATTGATCTGGTTTGCCAAATATTTGTATGAATTTAGACGGATGAAAGACAACTGCCAACAGTTCGTCCATTTGTGGTAATACAAGATCATGTCCAGTAAAAAATTCAATATTTATTATAATTGATGTTGAATCTTGTATAAGTTCTATTTGAAGGTAATGTGTATTAAAGTAACGGGTGCGGCAGAATAAACGGCGGTCTCAGTATTTTGATTATAACTTTTTTTCTTTTTGATCTTTATAACTGGTTGTTTTGCCAAAAGATGCGTCCTGAAATTCTCTACGAAACCCTAAATAAACGTATTTCTGTAGAAAATTAAGAGAAAAAAAGAAATGAATATTATTCAAAGCATAAAAAGTGCTCAACTTTCAAAGCGAACGGATGTTCTATGAATGACTGGTGTTCGTATCTCTTTTTTTATCCTCCTCTAGTAGACAGATTTTAAAAGCAAAGTATACTATAAGATGCAGCGTGAAAATCTCTACAAGTTACATTAAAAACCCTATTTTATNATTAATTATCATGATGAATATCCAAGTGATGATCCACCATCATTTATTCTATCATGTTTTTATTTTTCAAAAATTGATTTAGAAAAACTTTGCCGAAAAATTGATCATTTTTTATTTATTCCAGGAGAAGTTTGTGTTTATGATTGGATTGTATTAATAAAACAAGAAATAACAAATGAATTTATTTTTCGTACAAATTTTGAAGAACAAGAAAATGACCCAAGAGCATTAAATGGTTATAATATTGAAAATGGTGAAAAAATTTTTCAATATTTAATTGATTATAATCAAAGACGTGAAGAAGAATTATTTCAAAATCAACTTCAAACATGTTCAATTTGTACAGATATTATGCCAGGTTTAGATTGTATTCGTCTTCATCGTTGTGGGCATTTTTATTGTCGTCCTTGTTTAAATCATTATATTCGAATGACATTTGACAACGGAAAATTTGGAGAAAATCTTCATTGCCCACAGGATCATTGTAAACAAGCTTTACTTCCAACAGAAATAAAACAAACTCTTCAAAATGAAGAATTATATGAAAAATATGAACGATTAACATTACAACATGGACTTGAATCAATGAAGGATATCGTTTGGTGTCCAAGGTTAGATAAATCAATAAGTTATTTTAATTTGACTAGTAGACATATAAAGATTTTTTGCAAAGGTTTTTACAAAACATTGTTCTTTTTATTGTTGCAATGTCTATAACAGATTTAATCAGCTATTTGAGAATGAATAGAAATTTTCTAGTTTATTTTTCAGCCGAGACTTTACCTGTTTCTTAGACTGTAATGCAGTGTATCTATTATAATAAGAGTTCGTATTTATAGCTAATTTCGTCAATGTCTGTCATACTTAAAACTCCACATTTGTAGGAATATCATATTTTCGAATTTCGATCGAAAACTTTGCCTTCGTGAAGACTACAATTAGATTAGCTTGCATAAAAAACTTCAGAAGTTTTCCAGTGATTGTTTTCGAAATAGAAAACTATACCAAGATCTGTTTCTCAAGTATTTCTTCTTCAGTAAAATGCGAGTCTAGATTGAAGGCTGAAAGATAATCTGTTAGTGTTAGGATTGCATGAACAAGGCGAGTTTGACAGTGAAAGAAACTTTCATGTTTTTAAAGATTCATGAAAATCATATTCATAATTATTATTAACTTTGGATCGAATTCTAACAAATTTTAATCTGATAGAATTTTGACTGCAATTAACAATATCAAAAAGCTTTACAATCGTTTAACTAACCCATTCATAGATCGTTCTGAAAATTCTTTACAATTATGTAATGATAATGAGAAACATTAAGCAAACAAAGAGTATTGTTACGGATTGTCGATATGAAACCCGTATCTCACATTATAGAACGATATCAGATCCAAATTAAATTTGAAGCAAAACTATTCATACTATATAATACCTTATAATTAAAATAAACTTGAAATGTCAAGAGAATATCATGAGAAATATTCTAAAAGAAGATATTATTTAGATGTCAATCACCTGTTATTAGTGGCCCCGATGATGATAATTTAGCTATATGTGACCGATGTCGTTATACATTTTGTAAAAAATTTTATGAAACATTTCATTCTCNTCTGGGCTGAGATCGATTTTTGAGGGGGGAGGGGAGGTCTTAACAACAAACACATAAGACTTAATGCATTGATTTATATAGTTCGGTATAATATTTCTTTGTATTATGCGTAAAAACGTATATGATGAGACAAAAAAGAAATAAAAAAACCATCAGTGTTAAATATGAGTAGATTCATTCTGAAAGTCAATAATAAAAAAACAGATACTCTTTAATGCAGATTCAAAAAATTGTTGCCATTCTGTTTCCAGGCATTCATGCAATACTTTTCATCCTACTTCTTTTGTTGTTATGACAATTTTTGTTTCAGGTAGGAGTAGGATAGTTCGGTAAAAGTTCCGATCTGATTAATTCTTTGAACAAATCTTTTGATAACTATTGATTTTTTTTTCAACAATACATTTGCTCATTTGATCTGTACTTATGAGCTGTAGCTATCCCCTAGATCAAGTTTCAGGCAATCGGTGGATAACTTTTTTTTTTATGTAAAAGATGAAAAATTGTATATTAACTATCAAAATACTTAATCATGAGTTCATTAGAGAAAGAGACGCACGAGCTATTTTCATCTTTTACAGAAGAAATATAGAATTTAAAAATGCATAGCATAAGAGAACTTAATATTATTACATGAGCATTATTATAATTAATCATTTCATACAAATATTTGTTTTTCTATTTAAATTTCTTATGAAACCTTAAATTCTGAAATAATAATAGTATACATCTCAGTGAAGAATAACAATTTACTTCACACGTCTTTCTCAGGGCTTTTTCTGATCTATGGTAGATGATATCCACGTTTTTAATTATATCTTTTGTCTGATATTTTGACTTTTCAGTAATTTAATAATGCCTTCATTATCACTATGTATTATGGGAAACTTCCTCCATACGTTTAGATTTTCAAAATCCATTTTTACAGCAATATACATACGAGTTTTTATAATCGAAAAGTAGCTTTTCTACCATTACACAAGTAATGGTTTGTTTGAAACACAAATAAAAAAATCGATCGGATTAGAAGTCGATGTTTTTTTTAATATCAGTGTTATTATAAATCAAGTGCTTTCGAGCGAATATTTATACATAATCTTTTTACCTTTTTCTTTCTCTATTAACAAATGGTCTTAATATATGAGTATTATGGTTTCGTGCTTTTCGTTCATCAACATATGCACATTATTTCTTAGCTCCAAGGTCAGCGTAATTATTGTCGTTGCGCGGTACTATATAAACTATGCATATTTTGCTTGTGTAGAGATGTTAGCCGATGCATTTATCGTTAGTGGCTGGAAATGGTTATTTTTTTTTCAACTTCGATGATGAAAGCAGTAGTATGTAACAATGCTAAGTTAGTAGCTGAAAATTTTCAATCGTGTTTTTTTTTGAAAGAATTTTATAATTTCCGTAAAATTTTGAAATGAAAAAAGAGAGGAAATTAGTGTAGAAACCTTGACAAGAGTATTCCTGAAAACTAATCCTGTATGTAGAAAGTGTTCAAACGCTTCATATGTTTTAATATGTCCTAGCGAGGATTCACTTGATCGCCGTACATCTTTAAATCTATGTTAACTGTATAGAAATAAGATACTTTGACTAATAGTTGTTCGTCGAAAATCCAAGTGTTGATTAGTATATACGTATATACGTATCTTTTGCTAAATTCTTGTCTATTATATGATGACACGTCTCCAATTATTGATATGTGGTATACTGAATATATTAAATATTGGTCGACATAGGAATACTTTAGTTTCTCTGCCTGCATCAAGAAGCAGCCATCGTACAGAAACTTTATATACTATAACAGAAGGATACAACGTACAGGGTTTCTTTTATCATTAACAGAATATGAAGTGCCACTCAGATGCTTGTCGTATAAACCGCTATTTACGACTTAAAAAACATGAAAATTATGGTATTCAATATCCTTTTGATTTTTATTAACTATATGAACAGGAATACATGATCATCACATATGCATATGTTGATTGTGATGTTGCGACATTGATCTAAAAATGCATTACAATAGTTTTTTGTATTATTTGTATATTTGATTGCTCGAACTATTGACACAAGTAAAAGAGATTTTTTTAATAAGATTTTTCTATCAAGTTTTTAAAAAAAAGACAACTAATCATGAAATTTAGTCATTCACACAAGTTTTTGCCGAACAAATCATTTTCAACTGCGGTGTACGCAAGAATATCTTTGATTATCCTTGTTTATAAGGACGAAAACATCTATTCAAGGAAAAGAAAAAAACCAACTGAGATTTTTTCTTACCATCGTTTCTTCAATGCCATTTTTACTGTCGCCGGTTTCTTTCACAAAGAAAGAATATATTGTATGATTTTACACTGTAATTATAATAATGTGGTGGCTTCACCATCATAAAAGAAAAGTCATTCTCTAGTTTTTGTTTAAACTTGTTATCGGCGCAAAACGCTAAACTCTTCTTTTTAATGTTAGTCATGCGTATTAGCTATGTGAAGTTATGCAGAAGCCATTGTAGTGTTATCCTTGAAAAGAACGTTTTTACAAATATGTCATTAGCTTGAAACGAGAAAAGCGTTATCTTTTTAGAGCATCAACCATAGACTAAGACTATATTTATTTATATTATTTGTGTAAACTTATCTCAAAAGGAACAAAAAAAGGTATGACTGATTCTCAAGTAAATTTATTTTCAACAAATGTCAATTAAATATGAATCAATTACTCGATAAAGTACTTCAAGTAAACATCTATCTTCAACCAGTACAATTTTGTCTTTCAATTGTTTTGAATACCCTTAATATATGTGTATTAAATTCTCGTGCTCTTCGTTCATCACCATGTACACACTATTTCATCGCGTATGCCGTCTTTAGTATGATGTATACTTCTTTGGTGTGTCCAATCAATTTTTCGCGGGACTTTTTCATCGATTGGTCAAATACTACAATCGGATGTAAAATACATACGTATTTTGTATTCTTAGCACCACTATTAGCAAGAGTAATGCTTGTATTAGCTTCATTTGAACGTTATTGTTCAAGTTCCCAATTATATCGACTTAACTTAATAAGTACGATACTAAGAGTAAGATTAGTTATTGTTATTGGCACAATATTATGCATTATCTATATGTCACCAATATTGACTATTTACTACTCGAAAGAACCATCCGGGACATGTCTGCAATACTCCAATCTATTGATCAGTATTTATGTTATCAGTCAAATACTTCTTTATTATATTTCAGCACCGCTATTAATGATTATATTCGGTGTGTTAATTATATCTAATACTCGTCAGTATGCCGCTCGTATAGGACTTCATTCAAATGGTGTACATGGTCGTCGTACCGAAAGACAACTAACTCGAATGTTGCTTTTGCAAGTAGTTGTTCATCTCATTCTTACTGTTCCGTTTGATATTATTTACAGTATGAATGCGTTTGATCCATCAACAAGAACATCTAATATCAGATTCGTGCGAAGTATATCATTCATATGGCAACAATGTGATTATTTTGTTTCCTTTTTTCTTTATGTTCTTTCGGAAAGCGCTTATCGGAAACAACTTGTTCGTATATTAAAATGTGTCAAACAGCCAAATAAAACGATACTCGGTTTCACAAATCAAATGGAAACAATATACGAACATCCTATTGTTACCAATACTTTATCATTCATAACCAGAAAATAATAATTTGCCTATTATAATTCACGTTACCAAACGGAAAACTAGGAACATAATTCTAATACAATTTGTACTGACGATCTCTTATACTTGACTTGATATATACAATTAAATCAATAAACTTCAATCCATCAAAACAGAACAATATTATAATTCATAAGAGATGGGTACATGACAGGTTAGGACAGAAAATGTTGTCCTGTGCCCACCTCTGGTAGAGAGGCGATTCTCAGGGGTCGATTTGATTATTCAAAGAAGAAGAACTAGTTTTAGTTTTGAATAGCTGGATAAAATTTTATTAGCTCAGTCAATCAGAAAGAGAAAAATACTTTTTAAAAACATTTATTTCGTTTTTTGTTTTGTATAAATGTCAGGCAAGATTTAAACAGAGTTTGAAAGGATGTAGATATTGGCGTGGATTTGGTTGTGGGTAAAGGAACGCAGTGTCTATACCCACACCTAGGTTTCGATGAAGAGAAGATTCGCACGTCGCACCTGCACACCCTCGATAAGAGGATATTTAACAGTCGTTAAAATAAAATCGGTTTTCAATAACTACACTATCATTTACAATCATTAGATCCTCTAGTTTTATTTGCACTTCTAATATATGTAAATGATGGAATGATGAAGAATTTTATCTTTTATAGAACGAAATATGTATGTTTGATACATGTACTGTGTTGTTTTTGTCATTTTAATATTACATCATAAAAAGTACCCAAGTAAAACATGCAGCATGTCAAGCGAATGTATTATTGCTCGATGTAAAACACCAAAACACAAACCAATACAGGAAACATGGAAAGCATATGATTATTCGTATAATTATATACCATCTTCGATGACTCGTTCTGTGAGAATCTACATTTTCATCGTTGTTTCAATCGAAAATATTCGAAAAGCCATTCGTGCAAGATATAAAGTATTCTTCGAGACATACTACGAAAACACAGACACAATTTTGCTGCTGAAAAACACAGATATAACAGAAATGGCATAGTTTCTATGTGTCTGTGTCTGGCTAATTTTAGATAGCTTCAATTATTTTGTTCGTTAGGCATAGAGGTACACAAACTTGAATTCCGATTTTTTGCTTGAAATCGACTGGAATTGTTGAACATGGAACCAAAGTTTTAATTTACGTAAGTATATGCAAAATCAGTAATTCTGCAATAGTCAATTCAAAACCAATTCTATATCCAGCTAATTTTAATCCAGTTCAAGAATAAGAATTGGTCAGAATCGGAATAGGTAGTTACATCCCTAATGTAGGTAACATAGTTAAATTGACTCTTTGGACACAGTTCATTTTATTTCTTTAAAATTAGTGTATACATATATTCTTAGTTCAAAGCATCTAGAATAAGTTCAGCAAGTATCTATGCTCAGGCGCAGCTCGCTCTAATATGACCCTGCATGCAGATGCGACATTTAGTTACATGCGTTTTTTTTGAGCCTTTCGTTTGTAACTAGAAAATTGAAAACTACTGTTTAATTAATTATTATTTTTTTTGTTTAGTCTAGCAATTGATCTCTACATATAGCACAAAATATTTATTCGAACATGTTCTTTTTTGCGAAACAGATAAAATAGCAGTCCTAGATGTCGAAGATATTTCTATTCGGATTTGATGGAAAACACATATGATGAAAACATTGCAATAAAAACATTCGGTCACAATTCGACTAGATGCCCTGATCTCATGACCGATAATAGCTGCCTGCTCATTCTGTCTTCTATTACTTCTTTCTATGTCTTGTATATAAACTCGTGTTCTACGTAAACTAGATACAAATAGAGTGATGGAGTAGTGTAGTGAACATCAATACTAATGGTGAAAATGGTAACGCTACTCTTTCGATTTGTCATTGTTGAACATAATAAAATACACAATGCATTAGTAACGAAAAAGAATATTCTCTCATATCTCTCACATTTTCATTACATTGGGTATAGATCTTTTCTTTATTCACACCCAAACTCACATAATTTTAGCTTTCTTCTACTTTTTCTTTTTGACACTTTTCTTTTCTGCCTTTACCGTCAACCCGTTCTATTCTGAACTGGTGAATAACTATGTTATATTATTATGTTCTAATTTTTATTACAGTGTGACACGTTTTTGCATTTATTCTGTTCTGTTAATATAATGATTCATACAATTTCATCGCCTATAATTATTGCACAAGAATGAGAAAAGTTGACATATGCTTATAAAATCATTTCTGATGTTTTCAATAAACTTTCACTAGTATTTATTTGACAAAAATGACAAATTCAGAAAAACAAGCTGATGAAATATTAGCATTACAATCAATTTTTGACAAAAAGTTTCATTTACTCACTGAAAATCAATATGAAATATTAATTGAATTTGATTTACCTACATCATTTACAATACGATTCAAAGATAAAAAATCTATTATTCAACATTTACCACCATTATCTCTTATAATTAATTATCATGATGAATATCCAAGTGATGATCCACCATCATTTATTCTGTCATGTTTTTATTTTTCAAAAATTGATTTAGTAAAACTTTGTCAAAAAATTTCAAAAATTTTCATTTATTCCAGGAGAAGTTTGTGTTTATGATTGTATTGTATTAATAAAACAAGAAATAACTAATGAATTTATTATTCGTACAAATTTTGAAGAACAAGAAAATGATCCACGAGCAATAAATGGTTATAATATTGAAAATGGTGAAAAAATTTTTCAAAATTTAATTGACTATAATCAAAGACGTGAAGAAGAATTATTTCGAGATCAACTTCAAACATGTTCTATTTGTACAGATATTATACCAGGTATAGATTGTATTTGTCTTCATCGTTGTGGACATTTTTATTGTCGTTCTTGTTTAAATCATTATATTCAAATGAAATTTGAAAATGGAAAATTTGGAGAAAATCTTCATTGTTCACAAGATTATTGTAAACAAGCTTTACTTCTAACAGAAATAAGACAAGCTATTCAAAATGAAGAAGTATATAAAAGATACGAACGATTAACATTACAACATGGCCTTGAATCAATAAAAGATATTATTTAGTGTCTAAGGTTACATAAACCAATAAATTATTTTGATTTGTCTAGTAGACAATGTCTACTAGACATTGTTGTTTGCTAAGATCTTTGCAAAACTGTTCGATTATTAAGAGGACCAAAAAAAAGACAAACATCGACTAATGAGTCGTCAAAAGATCCTTAATCGTTAGATGACAGCTGAATTTGTCAGGAACTTCTAAGACATTAATCCAAGACAAATCGACCACGATTTGAAATGATTAGGGGAGAATCAAATAGTTCTTTTTTCACGAGATTCAACCTATGTGCCTTCTGTTTAATGAGTTGATATACAGTCGGAATCGTAGAATAGACTGGTTGATTTATCTGCAATGTTGCCAAAGATCATTCTGTTCATATCAAACAAAAGATATTTGAAAACTTATTGTATAGTAGATTGTTCACTATGGCTGAACTGCGCGAAAACGTATACTAAGACTTTTTTCGCAAGTGTTAGGATTATATGAAAAAGGTCAGTTAGGCATTGAAAGAAGCTTTTATCTTTTCAAAGATGCATGAAAATCAAATTCATAACTATTATTAACTTTCCTTTGAGTCTTAACAGATTTAAACCTGATAGAGTTTTGACTGCAATTATTAATATCAAAAAGCTTTCCTATCTCTTAACTAACCCATTCGTGCATCATTCTCAAAATTCTACACAAGTACGTAGTGACAGTGGATAACATCAGGCAAACAAAGAGAATTGTTATGCATTGCCAAGAAAAAGAAAAATTATAATAGTATGAGTCAAACGCAAAAGCTAGATAGCTGCGAACTCATGTCTCGCATTATTAAACGATATTACGTCTGATTTGTACTCGAAGCAAAAGTATAATTAAAATGAACTTGAAATGTCAAAAGATTATGATGAGAAAAAAAAAACAAAGAAATTTTTATTTAGATGTTAATCACCTGTTATTAGTGGTTCTGGCGACGATAATTTAGCTATATGCGATCAATGTTGTCATACATTTTGTAAAAAATGTTACGAAACATTTCATTCTCACACAATGTGTCCTAGAGATTATTTAATTGAACAAATGAAGTTACAAGAACAAAAAGAACTTCAACGACTTCAACAAGAAAAAGAAGCTGCATTAGCTCAATTAATTAAAACGAAAGCACATACAAAATCATGGAATGAACAAAAAAAAAATACTACACAAAGATATCATCACATTGTTATTAAACTTTCTGAACCAAATAGTCTATTACAAGAAATATTAACTACCGAACGAATCAATTCAGATGGTATTCAATTTTGTCCTGACTGTCATATACCAATCGAAAAAATGGTGGTTGCTCACATATGCGTTGTACACGATGTAATTTTGACGTTACATGGCAAACAACACAAGAACCAATAAAATCAATTATTACTCCATATTTAGAAAATAAAGATTCTACAGAAGTTGAATCCATAAAAGAAGAATTCAACAAAGTAGCTCATTTAGGTCAGTAACAAATGAATCATTGTCGAATAAAAAGTTTTGCACTACAATGAAATATTAAATATGATAGTTTTGTAACAGATTTATATTTCAACTGATATCTGTACACATTTATGCAAGTAGCATAAAACTACTAGTCTCTTCATTTTCCTACGGAATTACAATGTAGGTCTGAAGTCGATGAGAAACTGTTGCAAATCTATCTCTTGGAATAGCATCAGTATCGTTTTCAGGATTTGGCTCCCATGTAAACAAACAACATATTTGAGGATAACAAAATATCTTATCAATTATTTTCTTCTATTTAATTGGTCATATGACAATTATTTATGTACATTCTTTTTCTTTTAGTTGAAACTCCTTTACAAGAAAAAAAAACAAGACAAAATGAAGAGATGCCTTCTGATCAAGCTCACGAACAAGAACAACAAGAAAACGACGACGACGACGATTTGAAAATTTCAATTGATAATCAATCGGCTTCGTTATACTCAATCGAGTGAAAACATGTCCTAATAAAATGTGTCAAAAAATTAATGTAAAAATTACTCAAGATAATTGGATGATATGCAGTGCATGCATGAAACAATTTTGTTTTTTATGTGGGTATGGAGTAAATGGAACAAAACATTTTGAGAAAAAATGTTTACGAATTACACCAGTCTAAATAAAACTGACATACTTAACATGATACTGAAAGATGATGTAGAAAAGAAGAATATCTTGCTAGGTGTATTAATATGGAATAGTAATAAGAAAATAGTTTATATCATTTTTAGATTTCAATTAATAAATGTCTATTTATTTCTATAACAAATACATCTATATTTTATAGAATATTCAATTTATTTTCTTTTAATTCGAAAGACATCCTTTCGCCGATTACATTTACTATTGCTTATTGGAAAACTTAATCCAGATGTTGGCAGTCTATATTCAAAATGGATTGAACAAAGCGAGTGAGAAATATACAACGAAGTATTGCAAAAGTAAAAATTAATCAAAACCTACATGATACAGAGCACCAAAGCTTAAAATCGTCCATTTATTTAATGTTCTTCATATACTGTTTTGTTTATTTTTCCCATCACTGAAACAATTATTTCCTATGATATTGTACGTCTACAGCATATAATTTATATTAAGTGTCACGGTTCATAGCAAAAGGACCACTGAAGATATTAGAAATGTTACCAGGGTGTGGGTGTGTGGGTGAGGATGAGGAGGTTAGTATGGGTGGGTGAACTGGTGTGTGCCGTCTTCTGTTCATCCAGTTCCACCAGCCTTCACTTACATACACCCACAGCCACAGCCACATGCACACTAACTCCCACACCCTACCCACACCCACACTCACATCCACATTCTCACACCCACTCACATCCCAAAAAAAGTAAAACTTGAAACAATGAACACAGCTAAGTCAAAGTTGCTCAATACCCAGGCAGACAAAACTTTCGAAAAACGCATTTAAACGCGTTTTTTGAAATTTTTGTCTGCTTGGGTATCACTACTAACTGGAACTTGAATCAATATTGAAACGTTGTATTCGATCATTTACAAAATCGACAACATACAGATTGCCTTGTCTATCAAATGATAAATCCTGAGGATAGTAGAGTTGGTTTTGTTCGTTTTCTTCATTATTTCCACCAACAACAACAGTACCTTGTTTCGCATCTTTTGACCAACACGTCACTCAATTATTCAAATAGTCTGCCACAAAGATAGTACCTAACTGATCAACAATCACTCCACGAGGGCCAGACAATTGAAATGGACCACTTCCTGGGCCATGACCGCCAGCAACAACAATACTTTCTGTTGCATCTTTTGTCCATTTCATCACACGATGATTGTTCTCATCTGATATGTAAACTGAATAATCTTGATCGACAAAGATGTAACCAGGACCATTGAGTTGATTGAGACGATTACCTTGTCCATGACCACCGGCTACTAGTGTTCCACAAGTATCTCCTATTCTTCATCGTTGCACTTCATAGGTCTTGTAGTCAGGAATATAAAAATATCCAAGATTGTCCCTTGCTAGTCCTGTGCATCCAACATCGGAGATGACTGTTTCTCCAGCAGTGTCATTTTGACGAGGCCATCGCATCACTCAGTTGTTTCCTTGATCGCAGATAATGAGACAATTTTTTTCTTTATCAAGAACTACATATGTTGGTCTACTCAACTGATTTGTTCTATTTCCTGGTCCCTTCCTACCAGCCACGATTTGACCATTTGTTGATCCATACTTCCATTCAATAATGCGATGATTGAAAGTATCAGCGATATACATAGTTTGTTGGTCATCGTCAATACATATATTCAATGGACGATTGAGTTGATTTAACTCATTCCCTATTTGATTACCTCCAGCAACCGTAATACCAATTTGTAGCTATCTTGTGTTGACATTAATTTTCGTCATACATGATGATACTACAATGAGACCACAGATTATTATGTGATAAAAAGTCTTGCCTTTTTCTTTACGATCAACTTCGATATAACTGTGAGAAAAACATATCAAGAATGTTTCATAATTCAAAGTTCATTATATAATGCCTTTATAGTGGAATAACTAATGATAGTAATAGAGCTTTCTTTCCACTTAGCTTTATAATTAAATTCGGATATTTTCGATTATCAAATGTAATATATCAATGTTTTTCCCAACTCTTTCTAATTAAACTCTCTTGAAAAGTTTCATATACTTTTACTCGATAAAAAGTATCTTGTAGTTTCATCGATTCCGATAAAAACAACATTATTTCAGATCCCACGTAACCATTGTTTCCATATTTTTTCCATTCTTTTTGAAAGTTTGATAATTTGAGCACGAATTGAAATATCGAGAAATAACAATTTGAACTATCAGAATAAAATACATAGGGTTAGTTTTCTTGATTATTATGCACTATGAAATATTGTTTCATTAGTCTTATAAAAGCATGCATTCAGTGTAAGAATTTATTCAATCAGTATGAATCAATGGCACATCATATTTCAGTCAAAAATAAATCTTTAAAAGAACTCTGCTTAAGATAGATTCTAAACGATGTGCGACGATTGTACCGCTTTCAAAAGTTCAACTCATAAAAATTGTTAATTTAGAATCAATATTCTTTTCAATTTTATCGTTTCATGCGTCCGATTGTTTTTCAGAAAGACTTATTTCAAACTACTTATTCCACAATAACATTATTACAAAAAAGTCTATTCCAAATCTGTATTGCACTCAATATAGTTTTATGTAAAAATAAGAACTTCTTAAGTTTCATCGGTTAGATAAAATTGTTACTAAGATAAACTTCAAAATATAAATCATTCCAAGATAGTTTCACCATCTTCGATAGAATTATAAATATCGACGATACTTACAAGTTGATATATCAACAGAATTTTTTTTCACAAGTGATTCTGAACCTTGTTGAATAGTAATATTTGGTGGTTTGCCAAGTTCATCTGTTAGCTGAATAAATTGCTTTTTCCATCGATGTAAATCTGTTTCAACAAAGTCATTGTTTTGATGACTTTGTCTCAATTGATCAGTTAATTTATTCAACTGAATCTCTATATCAGTAATATGTATAGCTGTATGCTGTAGTAAAAGTTGTTTTGCTTCATCTGCTGTTTGTCTAATTTTATCAATTAAATCGCGTTCCCAATTATTAATTTGTTATACTAAAATGTGATTTTGCGGTTCTGATGTTTGCTCACTTAGTGCTTGTCGAAGAAGATTACGAGTAACTTCAACTTCATCTAGTTGTTGATTTAATTCTTGACGATGATCACCGAAATGATTTCGACATACATCACAAAGACTTTTGTCAGTTGTCGTTGTTGCCATGTGTTGAATATGCGTTCGATATTGGTGTGTGTTGAGGTCGAAAATGAAAATCAATGAGAATACGAAGGAAAGAATATGCGTTTTACCTTCGTAAGTCAATACAGCTCATAAAAAAAATAACCCATTGTGAAAAACTGCTACTCAAAGTGAGAGAACGTCGAAAGATGTCATTTTATGCAATGTTTATGTAATTGAAAATTCTTTCTTAATAATATTGATAATCTTGTATATGTAGGAATCCTTTATAAATAGAAATAAACTGACTCAAATGGTGCCGGCCGATCTTTATGAGGATCGGAATAGTATTCATTCACGGTGTTTAAATAACTTGTTTTTCAAATTGGTTCACTAATTATTTCGTTTTGGATAAAGGTAGTGAGTATCTCTTTATATGATCTTTTCTTCAATTTTTGATCATGTAGATAACTTTTCGAATTCATTAACCCGAATACTCCAACAGTATTTCAGTACGAAAACTTCGAAAATATTACATATGTTATCATAGATATTTTTAAAATATGCAGAAGAATTATTAGTACTTATGAAAAATTTCAGATCATCATAAATTTTCTTACTATAAAGTTATATTTTCTAGAAACGAACGAAGCTTGTTTATTCAATTTTTTTCTAGCTGATTAAATTTTCTTAGAGTCAGTAACTTTTTCAAAGTTTATTTAATAAAAAAAGAACACAAAAAAATGTCATCATACTTGGAATCGATGAATTGATTTTGTCAGAATTAGAAAAACAAAATTTATTTTTTCATCTAAAATCATCAAAATATTATGATGATCTTTAACAATAATGAACTTGTATTCGAGTGAATTTTGAACTTTTTTAGGATATGATGCGAAGGGAGTGTGTAGGTACGGAGTTTCTCTTCACCCACACTGTTTAGACGGTATTGAAACGTTTTCTGAACAACTATGTCTTCATTCGATGCTGTATCATTTGAGTTGGAAATTAGCCATAAACTATACTACAGTATATGGAAGTGTATACCACCCAATTCACGAGCTGATGAACTATCATATATACATATATTACAACTGTAACCAGTACATATATGGACAGAACGCATAATTGAATCCAGTTCATATGAGAACAGCAGAGAAGCATTTTTTTATTTGATTCTCTCGATCAATTGAATTGCGAATTGTTACATATCTTATATATCCAGTAATAAAAGTCGACTTATTCGATATCTGTTTTCTATGATCATGTTATAATCTTATCCTTCAATTTTTTTACTGTGTCTCATAATTAGGTTTTATTAATTTAACATGTAAATAGATCGAACTTTTATTTGATGAACAACTTCGCGCTGATGAGACAAGCAAGAGTCATAAAGTCAAATACTAATAAAACTGTTTTGAACAACAAGGAAACGTTGAAGAAATTCAACATGATTTCAGAATTATTATATATTTTGCTTTCTGTACAATAATAATTTGATTTGTATCTATTTTTTCAATAGCAAAAGGATTTGGAAACAAAATATGGAACTCATATATCTTCTTCAATTGAATTATAGTAATACTAAATTTGTATAATGAACAATTTTTAATAAAAATAATTTTTGCATTTCAATCATGGTTAATGATCAGAGAAGCATTATCTTTTTTATGTTCGCATTTCAAATAGAACTTTCTCGTTTTCCTTCATTTATGATTCTTTTGATTTCTTTTATCAATGACTTAATTAACAGTTTAGCTTGCTATTTGCATTTATTAGATAAGTCTACAACAAATCTCGATGTTCAAGTGTTGGTCATGTATCGAGCATACAAAACCAATGGTTCATAACAAAGTCTTAACACAATTTATTTTTTTGATCTTCATCGAACGTCAGTCGACAGTGAATAGAGTAGAGTTTCGATTTTCTCGAAATGATTTTCAAAGTAAATTTCTTCATCAACTTTCCATTGTTTTATTCGATTATCATAAGGCTTGACTTGACAATATTCGACACATTTCGATTAGTTCATCGTCTTATTTTGATGAACGTCAACTCGCAATTTATGTTATTGTTGAAATTATCTTAAAAGAATTTCAAAAAATCTTAGATAATCTTCTTGCTTCATATGAATAATTTCAAGCATGATATTACTATATAGGACAAGAACAGACTTCAAGTCATCAAGTTTGAAAAGACCGTTTCTTTACCTATTATAAAAACATGACGAAAGAATCATCAGAATATTTGACAGCAGAAAAAGACTCTTAAAATTCAACTTTGTATAACTTGTACTTCATCTGAAACTCAGCACATTGTACCCATTTTCATGCATTGAGTCGAGTGTCTTGATGATTCTTCATCAAAGATTCAAAGTTTGTGTTGATTAGACGAGATGTTTTTTGATCAATGACAAGAAGTAATCTTCAACTTTCGAAATATTCCTTGACTATAGAGAAACTCATCAACTGTTGAATCATACAGCTGTATTTTTGAATAAGAAAACAAGACGAAAGTTAAACAAGAGCCGAAAAAGAACTTTTCTATAATTCACTATTCTAAAAAGTGTTCAATAGTTCCAAAGAATTATAAGATTGAGAAAGATCGAATAATTCAACGGGCGTTATTTTTATTTTGTTCGATTTTTTATTGAAGAAATAGAAATGAACGAGTTATTATGATGCGTCAAACTTACGCATTAATTTTCTTCTCCTTCTTTTGAAGGCAAATCTATCATGTTCTTTTTAATTCCCATTCTATGCTCCTTTATGGTATAGTCTCAAAAAATTCAACATGCGAATATTCTAAACCAAGAAAATCCCATTGTGAACAAATCGGATAAAAGTAGATAAACGAATGATATTAATGAGTAATCTTACAGTTTCATGAGTTTTTCAGTTGTCGTGAGCAACTGTATCTCAAAGTTGAATCGTTTTTTTTTAAGTGTTTTGTTAATTAACTACCGCGCAGCAAAGATTGAAAATTATATAATCTATTTTTTCTTCTGTGTGCTTCAAAGAAAAAAATCGAAGATTGACGAAATCGATTTGTCCTTTGATACAGATAAACAAAAATTTTCAAGATTTAAGTGTCGGTGTGAGAGAATAGGAAATCAACACTCATACCCACAGCCTGATCAGTGCACTTAGGATGATATATTGAGACAATTTTTTGTATTTCAATTATAAAAACTTTCTAAATATAGAATTAGCCATTCGTTTTGACGGAATCTATATCTGAGAGTTAGTACATCATGCATCCACAATTGTACAGTTGGCTTTCGGCAGAATTCATCAATTTCCATAGATTGTGTATGGCTTCGATGTGTTCGACATTTTTAAATCTAACACAAGACGGAAATTGGAAGGCTGATGAGAAACATATTTCAAATAAATCGTAGATTTTTACATCATTTTTTTGCTAAAACTATCAGTTTGTGAAAATTGAGCCAACGGGACAATAGAAAGAAGCACACTTTCTTTATGAGTCGAAAACTTTTACTTACTCAGCAGTTACTATAAATAGCTACTCACGATCTCTTCGTAATTCGTTAGTTTTGAGAATATTTGCGCCGAACTTCGACAAAATTTGATTAGATTCAGATATCATTTGTGTATCTAAATATAAATAGATAGGATGAGTCCTTTGATAATATGATACGCACTACATCTTCTTATTTGAATGTGAATATTAATTGCTTGCAGTATATTTATTCAAGAATACTAATTATATCTGCATCGTGAAATAGATATTCATTTTAAAATTAAAATAAAAAATGCATTGTCTCTATAGAACTATTCAAATGAGAAATAACTGTATCCTTTGTTGTAAATGATGTATTCAGTCGAAAAATTAGATAAATCAAATTGAAAATTGAAAACAATCGCAGCTTGTTCCTCTGATGAATTAAAAGTTTCGATCGGCATTTAAAATAGATAGCTCCATTTCGATGACATTTTTGATCAAAAAGATGAATTCTGAGAAACATTAGTTCTCGATTAAGAGATTTAGCGATAGCAAAAATCAGTTCTTCAACACCTGATGGTGTCTTCGCAATAAAAAAATCTTTATCAATGTATTCTTGACTATTGGACATCGTTACAAAAGCGACATGATCGTAATAAATGATATTACCTTCTTTATTTACTTGAATATTTGGAAGAGTACTACTTAAAACTTTGCAGAACTCATTAACAATCTCGACGCCACATGATCTAATACAGTCAAGGAATCTGACGAAGCATAATATATCATATATAATGGTTGAGTTTGTTCAATTAATGATGACATACAATTGCGAACATCATTTTTATTCCAGAATTCAATTCCAGATATATTCCATCTAAACATTCATATGAATATCGATCAATTTTTTTTGTTAACGAATTTAAACTTGCATTGATCAGAGTACTTTTTCCAAGTCGCGATGATCCATAGAGAAGAATATTCCATTGTGTTTGATTATTTGTTATCAATATTCTTTTCGCTAGAAATTAACTGAAGACAGTTGAGTTTTTTTGACAATGTTAATTAAAAAAAAATTTTACGACAGAAAAAGGAAATCTTTTTATTTTTAAAAATAGAAGATTATGATGGCTATTAACAGAACAAAATATAATATCAGAGTCATAAAAAGAGTTAGATCAGTGTGATTTAATTCATTAAAGATGAGTAAAGAAAAACAAACAAATGTGAAAGAAAATAGAAAAAAAAGTCAAATTGAATTGAAAAATTGTTTTTATAATTTGCGCTTGAGTGCAATTAGAATAAGTGGGATTAGGCTGGTAACAATATCTTTGCCGTGTTCATCAAGAAATTTCGTCACAACCTGTTGTGATATTTCAAAGAATTTGATCAGCTGCGATCGCATAGTTACCCAAAATGATTGATTATCAGCAATAGTATAACACCATCCAACGATTTTATCATCTTTTAATGAAGTTAAAATTCCGAAAATGAGTTCATTTATACCTTCAACTTCTTTTCTCACACCGAATTCTCTATCTTCATAAACAATACTGTTTACCGCAGTGCATAAAGCAACACCACCATAATACTTAATATTAGCTTCATCTCGTGTCATACCATGATAACCAGTGAGAAGTGAATGAAAATCATTTAAAACTTGTGTACGTCTTTCAGCTCCTCCTAAATATTTGTTAGTACAAACAAAAGCACAAAAGATGTTTGATTTAATGCAATTATCAACAAGCCATTGTAATTGATCAAGTCGAGCGAATGATCCAGGTGATGCACAATAAATCATGCATAGTGGTTTGCTTTGTTCCATGATTTTTGAAAAATAAGATCGAACATGCTGTTCAGTCCACGATTCAATACCTGGAGTATCATAAATTGTAATAGAATATTCAATTGAATTCGCATCATCGTTGGCTAGTATGTCATTTCTCTTTATGACATATTTTTCGATTCTATCAGTGTAGGAACACAAACTGTTACTTGTCCTAGCTACTTGTTTTCCACAAAGAGCATTAACAAGTGTACTTTTACCAACACGAGCCGAACCACAAATAGCAATAGTAAATTCTTTGGACATGTTTCTTGATGGAAAATATATTATCTAGAACTAAAACAAAAACAGAAGATTTTTTGTTAAGTTTTTTTTTGAAAAATAAATTCATTTAAATAAGTTAGAAAATTTGTCGCAGTTTTATCAGGTGACGAAGTTACTAGTTGATGTAAACTCTTCAAATGTAACGAGAAGAAACCACTGATTTGTTGACTAATCTTTTCCCAATAAGTACGTCGATAGAGTACAGCATAACACCAACCAAGTAGTTTTTCGTGATCGAGAGCTTCCATTATACCATGAATGAGTTCATCGATACCTTGTACAGGCTTTCGCTGATCAGACAAATCTGGATCGTAATATTCGAGAGAATTGACCATAGTACAAAGAGCATCTTTGCCAAAAAAAGTAACTTTATGAGGATTTGGAGAATGTAACTGTTCAGAAAACTTTTCAATCTTGTTACCGAAGAATTGAAGTTGTTCTTCAAATTCTTTAATGACATTATCTCGACTATTTCCAGACCACATATTTGTGCAAACGAGAGCACAAAAGATATCTTTTGTTTTGCAATACTGAAGTACTGGTCTAAGTTGCTTTAAATCAGCAAATGTTCCCGGCGATGCACAAAAAATAAAGCAGAGCGGATTTGTTTCTTCGATAATTTTTATCATAGTATCTTGTCCAAATCCATCTTTCCATGATTCGATGCCTGGTGTGTCGTAAAAATTTATTCTAAATGGTTTTACATTTGGAGTTGGTTGTTGATTGTCTTCCAAAACATAACATGTAACTTCTTTAGTACATGAATTTAGACTCGGACTAGTTTCTGCTCGATTCTTCCCATTGCATAATACATTGATAAGGGCGCTTTTACCTACACGAGGTGAACCCATTATAATAATATTAAACTGCAGTTTTTCTCTGACATGATTTACTTCAGGCTCATAATAATATTCAGCTAAAGTTTCTTGTACATGTGTTGCTTTCTCATATAAAGGTTGAAATTTCTTCGGACTCTTTGATTCTACTTGATCCGAAGAAGCATTCATATCACATGAACGTTGACTACTGGAATTGATATGGCTATTTAAGTGATTAATCGGTGCACTTGCTTCTCTCTCCTACAAGAAAAATTTCACTAAAATCAGTTTCTTTGCTAACATTGCAATCTTTTCTCCATCTTTAGAGTCAATCCTCACTTCTTCAAATGGATTTGGATTATGACAATTATGATTTACATGATAAGCCAAGATCATTCGTGGAATATATTTATTGCAGAAGGGACATTCATTCGTTTTACTGCCACATGAAACCAAATGAGTACGCATATGCTCGGATGTTGGGAGATATTCATCACAAAATGGACATAAAAAACCTTCATTGAGATGAACATTAGAGAATCTTTCACACGACATAAAAACAATCTAAAAAATAATCTAAATTGAAATAAGCATAAGAAAATCTTCCTTTCGTTAAATATGCAACTGCGCATATAGCAAGGACATGAGACATTTTCATGATATGATTATTCGCTAGAAGAAAAATGAAAAAAAAATCAGCTTCGATGGCACATGACTCAACAATGAATAATAGAACACTGTTATGCTCACAACCATCGTCATTGAGTAACCAATAAAATACAGCCACTCACTTTCTTCTTTCATACAGCAAAGTAGAACGACAGCCACCTATTTTTTTTTCTTTTCTGCTTAAAAGAATTCATTTTTATCAATATTGGATACACTTTCAGCTCAAAAATGATTTTTAAGTGGTGGCACTGAAGCGACAGAAAGCAAAAGTATGTCATGGTGTGAGTATTACTAGGTAATTTCCAAGCAGACAGAACCCATAGCAGCAGGATGTGGGTGGATGTGGGTATGGGATATGGTGTAGATGCGGGTAGGTGTGGGAGGGTTGGACAACTTTTCGATCGCTGAGATAAATGAAAATTTTAAGCGAAATTGAAACGTTCAGATCAAAAATGCTCCCTATCAAGAGATAAGCCTTTCCAGATGACGCACATCGCAATGATTGATACTTTCACAATGAAGGATACGATATACATATAGCTATAAACATTCTTCCAGTCCGGACAAAGCAAAGCCAACACGAAAAATGTCCCTCATAACGAAAAAAAATGGTCGATTCATTTTTCATATGAGAAAAATTCTTCCCTTCATAGTTATTATCTGTTTCAAAATATAATGCGTCCCACTGTTTTTTGAATAACTCAAGAACGCAATCAGCTAGAGACCTGCGGTTTTCACCAATCGAAAGAAGAGACAGGGGGCGTCTTTTTATCCGATATGGTATCAGACAAAATCATTTTGAAACCAGTCATTTCTGCAAAACACTGCAAAAAATGCATGAAAACGACCCGGCATTCTGAAGAAATTTTCCTTTTGACATGTGATCTAGATAGAGAGACTGCGGATCTATACTTCAGGATATAATTCGAATGATTATCTTACCGCATCCTAACGTTTAGCAAATAAAATCATTTATTTACTCGCAAGAAAACTATGAATTTCTTTTAATTTTGAAGCAAATTTTTTTACTTTTTGTCAAAATTTCATCTGAATGACAGACCATTTTTTCGATGTTATCCAGAAATGACTGGTTTCAAAATGATTTTGTCTGATACAATATCAGAGAAAAAGACGCCTCCCTGTCTCTTCTTTCGATTGGTGAAAACCGCAGGTGTCTAGCTGATTGCGTTCTTGAGTTATTCAAAAAACAGTGGGACGCATTATATTTTGAAACGGACATTAGTTCTATACATACTTTGCCAGCGGAATAATGAAAATCAATCGAAATAATATTACTTTCAATAGAAAAAATGCTTTCGAAAAATGGTCTATTCATTTTTTATATGAGGAAAATTCTTCACTTCATAGCTAGCTGTATACATACTTTGCCAGCGGAATAATGAAAACAGATAGGAATAATGTTCCCCTCAATAGAAAAAGTGCTTACGAAAAATGGTCTATTCATTTTTCATATCAGAAAAATTCTTTAATTCAGAGTTACGTGTATATATACTTTGCCAGGGGAAAATGAAAATGTATAGGAGAAATGTAACTGTTCATAGGATCAATGCCTAGGAAACATGTTCGAATCATCTTTTTAATGAGAAAAATACTGGAAATTTTGTCCCTCTTGTGGATGCTTTGTTAGTTGAAACATTAAAATGCTTGGTAATGTATGATTTTTCGTAGAGAGAACGATCATTAGAATTGAAATAATGATTCAATTCGAAAGAAAGGCTGTTTCCACTATGGTTGCATCGTACATTTGATAAAATTAAGGTTAATTATTAAAGCGTTGTGCTGTTGCGAAAGAGAACTAGGTGCCTGATTTTGTCTGTAACTGACAGGCAAAAGATTACATGGAAGGTAATCATCGGCGAGCCACCATTGGGGCAAGGTGGGGCAGTTGCCCCACCCAGAATTTTTCTTCTCATAGATGCAATTTGTTCATTTTTTTTCCTAGAGCTGATATAGACATTTTAATAATTTTTGCCCCACCAAAAACAATTACCCTGGCCCGCCGATGAAGGTAATGGAGAAAGCGTTTGGAAACAAGAATGCGCATCTGTTTGCACGTGATGTTCATTGCTGTGCTTGTTTCAGTTTCATCATGTTTGGTAGATAAAAGGTGAATATTTTGTAGCGATGGACGAATCAGGAAAAATGCGAGTTCGATAAACTAATCAGCTTTGTAGCTACTATTCTTCACTGTTCGCTTCGCAAGAGA